GAAGAATGAAGCGGGGGAAATCGGAGGGGTAGACGAACCATGAGAGACGATGGACTCTGAAAAACAAACAGGGTTCTAGAGGGGAGGGGGGTGGGAGGATGGGTTAGCCTGGTGGTGGGTATTGAGGAGGGCACATTCTGCATGGAGCACTGGGTGTTATGCACAAACAATGCATCATGGAACACTTCATCTAAAACTAATGATGTAATGTATGGGGATTAACATAAGAATAAAATAAAATTAAAATAAAATAAAATAAAATAAAATAAAATAAAATAAAATAAAATAAAATAAAATAAAATAAATCTCCTAACTTGAAGGACAGGAGAGGATCTCATGATTTATAAACTCAAAAAAACAAAAAAACAAAAAAAAACAAAACAAAAACAAAAGGGCAACACAAGGGTCTTTGTATTGACCACTGCAAACATACTGTATCTTCACTGTGGTAGTAGATAGATAATCCTACACAGGTGCTATAATTGTATAGCATAAAATACACACATACAAATGCATACTAGGGAAATCTGAATAAGATTGGTGGATTGTATCAATGTCAGTATCCTGGTTGTGATATTGTACTATAGTTTTGCAAGATGTTAACATTAGGGGAAAGGAGGTAAAGAGTATTATAAGATCTTGCTGTATTATTCCTTATCATTGCATGTGAATCTACAATTATTTCAAAATAAAAGTCCATTTTAAAACATTGAGTTTTTTTTTTTAATTAGTGAATAAGTGCAGAGAAACTAGGTAACTAGAGAGGTTAAATGTTTGATAGACTTCACCAATGAAACTATCTGGGCCTAGAGTTTTCTTTATGCAAAAGTTTTTGATAATGGATTTATTTTCTTTAATAGCTATAGAGCTATTCACATTTTTTATTTCATTTTGTGTTTTGCTAGGTTGTATTATTCAATTTGTTCACTTTATTTAATTACGTATTTGTTGATATGAGGTTTTCCATAGCATTCTCTTATTATCCTTCTAATATCTATAGGATCGGAAATAATAAATCCTCTTTTATTCCTGATATTAGTAAATTATGTTCTTGATCAGTCTAGTTGGGGGGCTATTAATTTTGCTGATCTTTTCAAGAAATTAGTTTTGGCTCTATTTTCTCTATTTTTTCCCTTTTTTATTTCACTGATATCTGCCCTGATCTTTGTCCCTTTCCCCCCTCTATTTATTTTTTGTTTACTATGCTCTTTTTTTTTAACCTTCTTAGGGTGGAACTTAAGGTCATTGATCTCAGGCTTTTTATTATTTTTAATTGAGCATTTAAAGCTATTAATCTCCCTCTGAGCAGCATCCTACACATTTTGGTATCCTATATTTCATTCAGTTTGGGATATTTTCTAATTTCTGATTTCCCCTGTGATTTAGAACTGTGTTGTTTAATTTATAAATATTAGTGATTTTCCTAGATATATTTTTTGTTATTGATTTCTAGTTTAATTCCATTGTGATCAGAGAACATCCTCCCTATGATTTAAATTTTTATAAATTTGTTGGCAGTCATTGTATGGCCAAACAGCATGTAGTCTATCATGGGACTGTACTATATCTACTTGAAAATAATTTATATTCTGCAGTTGATGCAGTTGTTATCAATTAAATCAAGGTAGTAATAGTGTTTTTTAGGTTATCTATATGTCTTTAACTTTTCTGTTTATTTCTTTCAATTCCTGGGAGAGGGGTGTTATTTTTCTCTATATACAATTTTGCCAATTTTTACTTTATGTGTTTTAAAGCTCTGTTATTAGGTGCATTTGTATTTATAATTATTATGTCTTCCCATGAATTGATCCTTTTATCATTATAAAATGTCCCTCTTTATCTCTAGTAATTCTCTGATCCTGAAATCTACTGTACATGTTAGGCATAAATGTAGTACTGCCAGCCTTCTTATGTTTGCATTGCATTTTTTTCAATACATGTATTTTCAACCTCTCTGTGTATTATATTTAAAGTGCTTGTGTTATAGATAGCAAATAATTGGGTCTTGCTGTTTTATACATTCTGCCTATTTCTGCATTTTAACTAGACTGTTCAGTCTATCAACACTCAGTGTTATTATTGCTAGGGTTGGATTTAGGTCTACCGTTTTATTATTTGTTTTCTATATGTCCCCTCCAGGTTTTTCATTGTTCTTTCCTCTGTTCTTTTTTTTTTTGGCTGTCCTTTTAATATATTTTAGAATTCCAATTTAATTTATTTATTATCTTTTTTAAAAGATTTTATTTATTTATTTAAGAGAGAGTGAGAGAGAGAGAGAGAAGGAGCAGGGCAGGGGCAGAGGGAGAGGGAGAAGCAGGGAGTCTGATGTGGGGCTCCATTCTGGGACTCCAGGATCATGATCTGAGCCTAAGGCAGTTGCTCAACTGAATGAGCCACCTAGGTGCCCCTAATTTATTTATTATTATTTTGGCTTTTTGCCTATCTTTTAGTGGTTGCTCTAGCAATTATAATTTACATCTTTAACTTTTTACAGTTTACTTAGAGTTAATTTAAGGCAGTTTCATGTAAAATATAGAAACTTTGAAATTATAGGTTTGTTTATATAGATTTATTTCTCCATTCTTCAAATTAAAGTTGTTTTATGTATTATATTTACATCAATATTACAGTTTTTGCTTTAAACCGTTGTATGTATTTGAAAGAAATTAAGATAAAATAGTCTTACATATTGACCATTTCTGATGCTCTACATTCCTTCCTAAAGATTGGAGGTTCTCCCTGGGATCATTTCAGTCTGAGGAGATTCCTTTAATGTTGCTTGTAGATCAGGACTGCTATTGATGCAATCCTTCTGTATCTTTCAGACACTTCCATCTTGAAAAATATTTTCTGGCAGTACAGAATTCCGAGCTAACAGTGTTTGTTTTTCTTTCATTCTTTCCACACTTTAGAGACCTCATTCCACTATTTTTGAGGTACCATCTCACTCTCAGTCTGTGTTAAGAGTCTTTTCGCTCAAGAATAGATCAGCAACATACAATTGTATGTTGAGCATTTTGGGATTTTACAGGCATTATGAATGCTGTGTGTTATTTTTAAAAATCAGGCAATTAGGGATGCCTGGGTGGCTCAGTCAGTTAAGCAACCAACTCTTGATCTCAGCTCAGGTCTTGATCTTGGGGTGGTGAGTTCAAGCCCTGTTCTCTCTCCATGATGGGTGTGGAGACTACTTTAAAAAAAAATCAGGCAATTAACTTGGATTTAAACTGCAAACTCTGTCTCGCATGCAGTGGAGGGAAGCTCAAGTCTCAACTCAATCTTTGAGCCTTAGCTTCACTGCCAAGCATGATTCAGGCATCTGCTAAGTATTTGGGCAAAATTTACGCACAAAGTTTGGGGCTCTGCCGTCTGGCTTTCCTTGGGATTTCCTTGCCTTGGAACTTTCCCTGGCTCTGGTTTCCCTGAACTGTGTCTCCAACAATCGGCTGCAGTTTTCCCATCATAGTTTTAGTTGTTCCACACAGACAGACTGGGCACTGCAGCTAAGTTAAAAGCCATTGTCTTCAGGTAATTTTTTTAAATATGTTTTTTCTGGAGCTTATCGTTGTCATCTGTGGGAAGGTTGGTTTCATAGCAGTTACTCAGCCATGACCAGAAACATGACTCCCCCCAAATTATGACTTCATACAATAAATATTATCATGTCCCATTCATACCCCCCCAACAGTTAAAATTATTCATTGGTATCCCATTGCATTTAAAGTAAAATTGAAGCTTTGCATATTATCCTTCATCTTAGCACACCTGCCCAGTTCTTCCTAAATGCAGTGCTTCATGGACATCAGTTACTGTCCCTCCAGACCTCAAGATTTCATGAGACAGACCTGCCCTATCTGTAGGTGAGAGATATTTTGGAAAATAGTTGTACCTGTGAGATTAATGATTAGGGGTGTATCTCATCATTGTTTAATTTCATAAGATTAGCCAGAATTAGAATCCCTAGCATTAGTCACATATGCATTTGATGAAAAAAAGCTTGATATTATTGAAGCATGCATTAATAATATATTTTTTGCCTCTTGCAACAGATGGATGGATCTTCAGGAAAGGTATCTCATTATACCAAGTGAAGTCGGAGAAAGACAAATACTGTATATTCTCACTTACATGTGGAATCTAAACAAAATGAAAACATGAACTTATAGAGAATGAATCAGTGGTTGCCAGAGGTAGGGTGGGAAGTGGGTGAAATGGGTGAAGGTGGTCAAAAGATACAAATTTCTAGCTATAAAATAAATAAGTCACAGGAACGTAATGTACAACACGGTGACCATAGTTAATAATACTGTATTATATATTTGAAAGTTGTTAAGAGAGTAAATCTTAAAAGTTCCCATCACAAGAAAAAAATTAAAACTGTGTGGTGATGGATGTTAACTAGATTTATTGTGGCCATCATTTTGCAACATATACAATTTTTGAATTATTATTTTTTTAACTTTTGAATTATTATGTTGTAGACCTGAAACTAATATAATTTTCTATGTCGATTATATCTCAATTATATATATGATAAAAAGCCTTTTATGCCTGGAAACTAGAATTGACTCTTTAAGTCAAAATTTTATCACTGTATTATTAAAGTCTGGCTATTGAATTATCTGAAATTTCTCCAAAACTTTTATAAGACTTGGAATTTATAACTATCATAATAATATATGAAACAAATTATTACCACAAAAGCAAACGATCTATGTTTCTCTATAATTTCTATTATGCTTAAAACAATGAGCAAATGCTAATGACTTAAAACAGTTACAACTTTCTTTCTGTTCACCTCTTTAAGTGCTCTTTTTTTAGGTACAAATTAATTTCTCTTCTAATTCATATGCACCATTATAACTTACGTTCTCATAATCGTGTTAGCAGTTAAGTGGTTTACCATTGTATTCTTCCATTGCTTGAGGAAGTTTTATAGAAAATTCTCCTTTTTAATCTTTGCAAATGATAACAAATAATGTGCGCCTTCAATTTCACAGATTAATAAACAGAAGGAGGACATGGAAACAAGGAAAAAGTTGGACAGCCTAGGTGGCAAGGTTTGCATTTAAATTTAAGTTATTTTTTTCTTCTTTTATTCTGTGTGAGTCTTATTTTGACATCTGGGTTGAAAAAGGTATACATACCATATTGAGACTTTTCACTTTCCAAGATTCGAGTTTGAAGGAGAAAATCCTTAAAAGTGTGGATGGGAGCCCAGGAGTGATGGCTGAGCTCAGTGAGAGGGGTATAAGCCAACAAGAAGGCAAACCTGGCTGAAGGAAGGGGAAAGTGTTGTCCCGGTACACCAAGCCTTAGGCTCATGCCGTATCTCTTCAGATCCCTGTCCCTATACTCCTACCTTCTATTCCCCTAGCTTCCTACAAATAAGATACAGACCTCAAGCTGTCATGTCACCCCACTCCTCACCCCACTCCCACCTTTCCAGGTGCTTCCAGAAAACACTGATCTGTTGGTATGTTTTTCTTAGTACAGTAGCATCAGTGGGAGGAGAGGAAAAACAGACCCAGCCGACACATTAAATCAGGCCAAAAGGGGGAGTGTAGCACTGGGAAAAGGACCAGACCCATGCCCTTTGGGACTGAAAATCTGACCCTGCAATGCCAACTCACAGGAGGAAACGAAAGGGACACGATTCTGGAGAATGAAGTGAGAATAACCAAGCTGCTTCTTTTTGTGTGCCAGAGCCTGAAACTAGTCAAGGCGAAAGAGACTGCTGTGTCCCCGTGGCCCTTACAGCCCAGGATTCCATCCAGACCTAGAGCAAGTTCAAGACCACACTCACCCTCCATCAGTGTCTCAACTGTGAACACCAGGAAAGTTAAGACTCCAAAGAAATCTGCAAAGGAAGAGCAGCCTGTGGTAAGAACTGCTCCTATGACCATACTCTAGGATACCTGCATCCATCCAGGGCCACGGCTGTGTTAGCACTATTATGACCTCACGTCCAGCATGAGCAAGGCTGGTGGTCTCCTACACTGGATGCCCCCTACTCTCTGTGCCTGCAGCCGGGCAGGGACCTCTGGCCTGCTCTCTCTACACCAATGTGTCCTTCCTTGTTGGGCCCCTTGACTGCCCAAGAGGATGCCATCATTATCCTCAACGTGGTCGTTTAGGCTCAGCTTAGTCGCTAAGGCTCAGTGGGTCTCTATTAAATTAGCAAGATAGAAAAGCCACATTCCAAGCACAGTCTAGGGTGTATAATTACTAACTCCTTACTGCCCAATACCTAACAGAAGCTTCCTGAAAATTCCCTGAAGGACGTGCAGCTATACAGTCCATTTGCTCATAGTATTCTAAGTTGACAACTGGATTAACTCACACCATCAGAGATACACATGCATCAGTGATACACTATTATTCTCTTAATTCACCATCCCTCCAAATAATCAGAATTGCTTTTACTGGACCCAAGGCGGTACTACTGGTCTGTATAAAAGAGCGTGTTAAGAAGTAGCTCTGTGATGTTCAACTCAACGTTGGCTTAGTGTGTGGACCCTGCTGAGACACAATCCCTCCCTTTGTAATGATTCTATGGGGAACTTGCTTCCGCTGTGAGTTACGGGAATTGTTGTATTTCTCTAAGAGACCGATCTAGCCTGTGGGCACTGTGAATTGTGTAACCAGTCAAAACTCTTTTTCCGTGTTGATTTTTTAAAAGCTCAGGAGCCGGTTGGTGATACAGAGAGCCAATGTGTAGCACTTCCCATACTTTTTTGTCTTGTTTCTGCCTGTCCGCGTGTTCTTCCTCCTTCTCCCACAGGGGGCAGAATTTGCCTCGCTAAGGCTTGGGGCACAGAGGACCTGAGCAGGAGCAGGCTGCCTGTGCCATCCTTGTTCCAAAAGCAAAGGTAGGGGTGTCTCATGCCGGCTCACCGGGCAGATGCTCACAGCTCCCCCGCAGCAGAGGAATAAGCGAGCAGGTAGAGAGAGTCCAGGGTGCCCACCAGTGGCCGTAACTCCCCAGGAGCTGAGACAGAGCCTTCTCTGCCGAAAGCATTTCCCCTTTACAGAAAATTAGGAAGTACAGACAACTGGAAACCAGGGTAATTTCCAAAGGAGGAAAATGACATTTGGGGGCGAATTTGGTGCATGACTGACCAGTGCCTAGGTTCTAGAAGTAAGATGTTTAGAATGCAGTTCTTGGGAAGTTGGTGTTTATTCGTTTTTTGTTGTTGCTGTTGCTGTTTGTGTTTGTGGAGTTTGTTTGTTTTGGTTTGTTTTTTGCTCACAAAACAAAACAAAAAACCCCACCCCCACGCCTGAGTGTACAATGCTGCCGGCTGACCTGCACAGATAGATCAGCCCGACTGGGTAAAGGGTTCTAGCCTAAGCCTTGGACTTAGGGAGCGTGCGGCTGAGGCTGTGTCCTGTTCCAGAAGGCTCCATCAACTGCCATGAAATCAGGTCCCTTGGCGGTGTGGCCGCGGGGGTGGGGTGGGGGGTGTCAGAGTCTGTGGTCGGAGGTTGTGAGATGATGGAGGACTGCAGAGCAGGGCTGGTGACAGGGACAGAGCAACGGAACTCCAATCCCAGGATCTCAGCAGCATGGGGAGCTGCCCCAGTCCCTGCAGCAAGCACAAAGCCCTAACTAAACCCTACAATTGCAGATAAGAAACAACAGGGTCCTCAATTTCCGGTTGAGATTGAGGTTCCCAGTTCACAGCCATGAGGGGCAGAAATAACCACTTGTTCTCACCCACAGAAGATGCACCGTAGGAGAGACAGGGCAGACAGGATCTCCCAGAGGTGTCAGTTCAATGCGGTGTTCTGTTAGTGCCATAGTCTCTCCTTCTAACTGTAAGGATTGCTATTTTGATGTTGCCAAAGCCTAACAGTGTGTCTTGTCGGCAGGGGAGACTCAGAAGTTAATGCATAACCATAAGTAAAAATCAGACTGGGGAGGGAGGGGGGAGGTGACGTAAGCTGGTGTTTACGTATTTGTATGAACTGACACGCTTTTAAAATGAAGTGTATTTTCCTAGTTCACCATTATTGCTATAGTATACACTTAAGTTGTTCACAGTTTTATGATAAGTGCTCCCTTCTATCAGCTTTCCATGTGGTACAGTCTTCACTGCAGATTAACTTGATGTATTATGCACCCTGACTTTAATTTTCCTTTTTTTCTCTTTGACATCTTTCATTATGCGGAGGTAGCTGGACTTCTCAAAAATTGTCTTTAAAGGGTTTTGTAACATGTATCACATGTAAATGATCAGACAGAGAGCTTGCTGAAGGAACTTTTTACATCAGTCACTTATCTTATCTAATTAATCATACTTACTTTTTGAAATCTGTGTCATTTGGTGGGAATAGCACACGTGCTTCCCACAGTGGGGTACAGAGTGATAAACTGAGTGGTTAGCCAGTCTGAAAAGCACGATAGGAACATTGCTGTTTGATTTCTATTTACGAAAGATTTCACAACATAAAATTTGTATTTGTACAGCGTTTTGTGTAAAGTTTATTTTTTGATATCTGGGAAACATTTCAAATACTAAGGTTTCATATAACCAGGTTAGATTGGATTCCCAGGAGGTTTGCCCCTCCCCCACCCCAGGGAATTAGTTAATTAAGGTTGCACCCAGTAAATGCTTCCCAGGAAGACTTCTGAGCTTCCATGGGGTAACCTGGTCTCTGCTGAGAGAACATATGGTGTGTGCTTACATCTGCAGAAACCATCGGGACCCTCTGTGTGGGAAATGGGACACGGACAAGTCAATCACATTCCCATTCTTAAAGTGCACTCAATACAAAGCAATTTGTACAGCATAAAAGACATCAATAAAAACTCTATAATGTGATACCTTTAACATTTAAAAATTGTCAGGTGAAATATTTTTGCAGTAGCTTTGCAATTATGATCATATTCACCCTGAAAGCTAGTAATTTAATAAAAAATATTAGTATAGGATAGAGAATGATTGTTACAGATCTGTAGTATTACAGGCTAGGTAGGTGAGGGGAAAAAAATCATTCTGAAATTGACCATTGCTCTCCTATGCAAACTTCTTATTTGATAAAATTGCACATGAAGTTTAAAATAAACATCATCAGGGAAGAAAATAATACAATCTGTTTATTGTTTCATTATTTCATGCTTTTTAACTTGGGCTTCACTTGGTAGAGCAGGCAGTTAAGAGTTCTACAGAGCAATGGGGGAAAGCCAGCATTTTGCTCGTTGTGGATTTGGCCACACTGGATTGCTGTTTAATACAGAGATAGGATCGTCCTGCTCATGTGCATGGTCTTGGAGGTTGTCAAAGGATACTCCCTGTATTTTGGTAGATTTTTTTGACACGGAAGAGTTTTCCTTATTGTACTAGATCTTTCTTTCAGCAAATAACTTTAAAATGTAGAGATTATTAAAATCATACACTATACTTGTTTTATTTCAAAATCAAATTTTTCATTTACCACTAAAATGAATTCATCTTTAGATTCTGCTCTCAGAGACCAAAATTGACAAGCTGAGTGATATTATATTTAGAAGTCAACTGAAAGGTGGTTTTTACTTTCTACATTATCTTATTCTGAGTGGTTCGATGATAAATACTTTCAGTATATTTGGAACTGAAAATATTTTAGTGAAAGTCAGATTCAATATTTGTCGCACAAATGAAAAATGTTTTTTGTTAAGAATCGCATAATGCATTTTATGCTTTTTCTTCTTGTTATGTTCTTGGGGAACAGTGATAGCATTTTATTTGTAGAGTTTGTGATATTTTAGTATAACTTAATTAAGGAACTAAGATACAATTGTGGGAATTGGGAAAAGATAAATTTGAGATTTGTATCCATTTCTGTTCTTCCCTTGGCACTCTCAGCCAGGGGCAGTTGCTAGGTCCTGACCACATGTAATAACACCCTGGTGTTAAAAGAAGGAGTGTCATCCTTGACATTCAGGTGCCCAGAGCAGCCATCTTGCCCCTCACTGTAGGGTGTTGCTTTATTCCATTTGCTTTGATTTCAGCTGTGGGTTTCTCTCCAGTTCCCACTGGGAGTTGAGGCCAGTCTTGAACACCAGGTCATTTAGCCAGAGTCCTGATACTGCCCAGACGTGCGTCTTACCCCCATGAATATTTGACATACTGGCACCCATTCTAACTGCCATTATTGCATGTACAAATTCTGCTGCTTGGTGCTATGAATTCTGTCATAGAACTCACTACCATAGGACTGCTTCAATATGGATGCTGGCCAGAGCCAAGCCTGAAGTAGCTGCACCCCCCTGAACACTGGCATTGGACTATTGGCTACCCCCTTTGGATCTAACCAACTTATCAGTTTCTCCAGACCCTACCACTTCAGGCCCAGTGTCCCCCAGGTCCCAGCTTTGTCCTCGCATCCTGGGATTATTTTACAATACACCAATTTTTTTTCTTAAGGAATGTAATTTCATGAAAGATGGTACTTGAACTTTTCTTCATTTAATATCCCTTTGTTTTCTTTTCCTGTAGTCTCTGCTTGTTCACAAAAAAACCCCCTGAACTTATTAAAGTTATTTGTTTTCCTTTATGCATCCATTTAGTACATATTACTTTTAACTTGGATATCTGATCAACCTTAGATAACCAGTGATATTTCACTGAATTGATTTAATGCCAACCAAACCCAAAGAGTTCTTAAGGATTGTTAGGTATGCGACTTTATTAGGGAATCAAGGTACACTTTTATTTAGACTTTTAAAGTTCTTGAAAATAGCTTGAAGATCTCCTTCACCAATTGCATTGTGGGATCCATCCCTCTTTTGAATATATGAGTATATATAGGACCATATATGAAAATATAATAATATAATATAATATAATATAATATAATATAATATAATATAATATAATATAATATAATATAATATA